CATCACCGCTACCGTGGTCAGCCAGGATGGGCTGCGGTTACAGGTATAATGCCCAGCAGCGGCCGGCATGGAATTGTTCCTATTCAACCCTACCGATTCCACCGAACTCAGATCCCTGCCCGTGGTAATGACGATGGGACAAACCCTCTTCTTGTCCGGACAGACCGTGGCCCCGAGGCTGGCCAATCTCGTGGACCTGGTAATGAAGCTTTTACTGATTGGGTTCATGGCATGGAACCCGTATCCACTGGACGACTGCTCCCTATGGACAGCCCTGTGAGCTTCATGAATGCGATTATGCAGGCCATTGGAGGCCAAGGTGCTCCTGGCTTTGGCGTTATCACACGCCCAGACGGAATTCATGTTCATGTTGACAGACGAGCTATTTTGCCCAACCGCATTCAAGATATTTTCGGGCTTGGCAGGCCACAAGCACCTCCATCTCGAACTCGGGATGATCCATCTCAAGCTGTGAGCTTTGCGTTGGCAACGACTCGAAGTCGTTGGCAGGAAGAGGCTCGTATTTTGTTTAGCAGTACATACGTTGAAAAGACACAGCGCGTTGTCAACTCTTTGCTGAAGATACTGGTTCCTCCCGCTATTGAAGAAGAGAAGGAGCGAGAGAAGAAGATGGCAGAGGAACTTAAGCGACGAGAGGAAGAATTAGCCGAAAGGGAGCGTCAGGAACGTATTGCCAAGGAAGAAGAAGAAAAGGAGCAGAAGCGGAAAGAAGAGGAAGAAAATGCTAGGCGACAGCAAGAAAGGGAGCAGGAAGAAACTGAAAGACAAGCCTCAGGTGTTATTTCTGAGCCCATGGACGATGTGCAGCCGACAGATACCCAAGCTGAAGCTGCAACATTGCCAGCTCAAACAGAAGCTGAGCCGTCTGAACCTCAACCTCGGGTGCATACTACTATTAGAGGTCGCGAACTTGACATTACTGGGATGGAAATCGACCCTGAGTACCTTGAGGCCTTGCCAGAGGAGCTTAGAGAAGAAGTAATCATGCAACAACTTGCAGAGCAACGCTCCCAGGCTGCTGCAGCTGGCGAAGAGCCTAGTGAGATTAACCCGGAGTTCCTGGAAGCCTTGCCCGCGGAGATTCGGGAAGAGCTATTACAGCAGGAAGCTGCCGACCGTCGCCGTCGGGAGCGAGAAAGTGCACGCAGACAAGCAACCTCTGGTGGCGCTCCTCCACGCGCCGAAGACATGGATGCCGCTAGTTTCCTTGCCACCTTGGACCCTTCATTACGGCAAGCCGTACTTGCCGACCAACCCGAGGAGGTACTAGCAACGCTGGGACCAGAATTTGTCACCGAAGCACGAGCTCTTCCTGGAAGGCGCTTGACCCAGTTTGGCGATATTGCCAGAGTTGATCATCGGCAAAGAAATGAGCCAACCGAGGAACAAGAGCCGAAGAAGCAACAGCGGCGTCAGATCGTCCAAATGCTTGACAAAGCCGGTGTTGCTACATTGCTCCGCCTCATGTTTATGCCACTTCAGGGCAATGCACGCCATCAGTTGAATGACATTCTGCATAACGTTTGTGAAAACCGCCAGAATAGGGTTGAAGTAATTAGTCTTCTGCTTTCTGTCTTGCAGGACGGAAGCTCAGATGTTTCTGCAATCGAGCGCAGCTTTGCTCAGCTTTCGCTCCGGGCCAAACCTCCCTCGATCCAGAAGACCCCGCAGTCTGTCAAGCGTAATCTGGCCTTCCAAACCTCTTCAAGTGTCAGCAATGAAGTGACTCCAATAATGGTGGTGCAGCAATGTCTCGGGACTCTTTCGTTTCTGTCTCAGTACAACCCTCATATCGCGTGGTTTTTCTTGACTGAGCATGATCCTTCATCTACATTGAAGTTGAAGGCCTTCCGCAAAGGTAAGGGTAAGGAAAACAAGGCCAATAAGTTCGCTCTTAATGCGCTCCTTACTCTCCTTGATCGAAAATTGATCATGGAAAGCCCGAATTGCATGGAGCAGCTTTCTAGCCTCCTCAGCAGCATCACGCAGCCACTCACCCTGCTACTTCGTCGTGAAAAGGAGAAGCAGGAGGAAGAAGACAAGGGCAAAAAGCCCGAGACAGCGCAGGATGACAGGCCGACTGAGGAACAGCAGCAGCAGCAGCAGCAGCAGCAGCAGCAGCAGCAGCAGCAGCAGCAGCAGCAGCAACAACAGTCCGATGCTGCCGAACCTACATCTGCTACAGATACAATGATGACAGATGCTCCTCTGCCCAGTGTAGAGAACGCCGAAGCACAAAGCACAATGGCGCAGCCCGAGGAGGATACATCGGCAGAAACCTCTAAATCAGAGACAAAAAAGGGTCCGAGCGAAGATGAGAAACATAAAAAGAAGTCTATAGAACCTCCCGTTGTTCCAGACCACAATCTGCAGCTTGTTGTCCACATTCTTGCCGCTCGCGAGTGCAACGGAAAAACTTTTAGGGAAACGCTATCGACAATTAACAATCTTTCAGCCATCCCTAAAGCCAGGGATGTAATTGGGAATGAGTTAGTCCATCAGGCGCAAGACTTGAGTACTACTATCTTAACGGACCTGGATGAATTATTGTCTCATATTAATCAAGCCCGGACTGGCACCGACATGCAGGGCCTGGCTCTGGCTAAATTCTCGCCAGCTAGCTCTGACCAAGCAAAATTGTTACGTGTGTTGACGGCACTTGACTACTTGTTTGATCCTAGTCGATCGGATAAGGCCAAGGGGGGTGATTCCGAGCAGGCAGCAAAGGAGGACGTCCTACAGACCTTGTACGAAAGTTCTACATTCGGACCTCTCTGGACAAGACTGAGTGAATGCTTGACCCTTATACGGCAGAAGCAGAATATGCTGAATGTCGCAACAATCCTCTTGCCCCTGATCGAAGCATTGATGGTTGTTTGCAAGAACACCTCGCTGAAAGAGACACCTCTTTCTCGGAACACTCGAGAGCTGTCTGTCGGGGCTGGTTTGAATATGGAGAGTCTTTTCTTCAAGTTCACAGAGGAACATCGCAAGATACTAAACGAACTTGTTCGTCAAAACCCAAGATTAATGAGCGGTACTTTCTCCTTGCTTGTCAAGAATCCGAAGGTCTTGGAGTTCGATAACAAGCGCAATTACTTCACCCGTCGTATCCATTCCCGCGGTGCAGAACCTCGTCATCCTCACCCTCCCCTTCAACTCTCTGTCAGGAGAGATCAAGTGTTCCTTGACTCGTTCAAATCCCTATACTTCAAGACGGCAGATGAGTTGAAGTACGGCAAATTGAATGTGCGGTTCCACGGTGAAGAGGGTGTTGACGCGGGAGGCGTGACCAGAGAATGGTTCCAAGTTCTCGCACGGGGCATGTTCAACCCGAACTATGCTCTGTTTATTCCTGTTGCTGCCGACCGGACCACCTTCCACCCCAATCGCCTGAGCGGTGTCAACTCGGAGCATCTTATGTTCTTCAAGTTCATCGGACGAATCATTGGCAAGGCTCTATACGAAGGTCGGGTGCTCGATTGCCACTTCAGCCGCGCTGTCTACAAGTGTATTCTTGGACGTTCGGTGTCTATCAAGGATATGGAGACACTCGATCTCGACTACTACAAATCTCTCCTCTGGATGCTCGAGAACGATATCACTGACATCATCACCGAAACTTTCGCCGTGGAGACTGATGACTTTGGTGAGAAGCAAGTGATTGATCTTGTGGAAAATGGAAGCAACATTCCGGTCACTCAAGAAAACAAGGAGGAGTACGTGCAGCGTGTCGTGGATTATCGTCTCGTGCGATCCGTCAAGGAGCAGCTCGACAATTTCCTCAAAGGTATGTCACGCTCTTCATACAGATCATCTACCATATCAGCTAACAATGGTTTATAGGGTTCCATGAGATCATCCCAGCGGATCTGATCTCGATATTCAATGAACAGGAACTTGAGTTGTTAATTTCCGGCCTTCCTGAGATTGATGTGGACGACTGGAAGGCTAATACCGAGTATCACAACTATTCGGCCTCGTCGCCTCAAATCCAGTGGTTCTGGCGTGCCGTTCGCTCATTTGACAAAGAAGAGCGGGCTAAGCTGCTGCAATTCGTCACCGGAACGAGTAAGGTGCCGCTCAATGGTTTCAAGGAGCTTGAAGGTATGAATGGAGTTAGTCGATTCAACATCCATCGCGATTACGGCAATAAGGATCGCCTTCCAAGCGCGCACACATGTTTCAACCGTAAGTCTTTTTATTACCACTACCAAATTCAATATCACAGGTTACTGATCATACGGGGCAGAGCTTGATCTCCCGGAATACGATAGTTATGAGACTCTGAGACAACGGCTGTATACTGCCATGACAGCCGGTAGCGAATACTTCGGGTTCGCATAAATTGGTGGCAGTGCTCTCTTCAAGACAGCTTGGGCGATAATTACTGGTTTTACGTGATTCCTCTTGCATCTTTCCTCATTTATCAACACCCCTGTTCTAATGCTTGAGCATTTGGCGGCGTTCAGCTACACTATTCCTTGTTGTCTTCTTCCTAGTCTGTATTGCTACCAATCATGTATTACGAAGGGGAGGAAAATCTCAGACCGCGACTGGAAGCTGGTTGAAGTGCAGGTCAACTAGTGTGCCAGGAATAGAGCGATTTGGCTTTGTGAAAAATTAATTAGCTCATTTTCTTCACATGTATTTAGGGTTATGTTCTTTTGTTCCTTTCTAGATCTCCCAATAACTTACCGCCTATTTCAAACATGTTCTCGATCACAAGATTCACAACCCCGTAGGCGGTGAGCAGCAGCGAGCCCCGGGGGGTCACGGGACGCAGTGATTTTTCCGCTGGGGAAAAAAAGTTGCCGCGGGGCATTATCATATCACCTTTCGCTCTACTCTGGGGTTTGATTCTCCTCAGTTTTTAGAAACTCTTCAGTTGTCGTATTCGCCGACCTTGGTCTACATAAACCTATCTCCTTTGACTCACTCATAATCTGTACCCGCTCGACAATTGACTTCGAGACACCATGGCTGCCAATTCCATCAAGCTTTTGACTGGTAACAGTCACCCTGAGCTTGCGAACCTTGTGGCTGATCGGTATGCGATCCGTTGTCATTGAATAAGCTTTCGCATGCTGTGCTGTCTTTCTTTGGCTAATGAATCCTTACTCGTCCCATCAGCCTCGGCATCGAACTGACCAAGATCATGGTCCTCCAATACTCCAACCAGGAGACGAGCGTGACCATTGGTGAAAGCGTACGAGATGAGGATGTTTTCATTTTGCAGTCTACCAAGCCCAACGACATAAATGACGGTTTGATGGAGCTGCTCATTATGATCAATGCTTGCAAGACAGCTTCTGCGAGACGTATCACAGCTGTTATCCCCAATTTCCCCTATGCTCGTCAAGATAAGAAGGACAAGAGCCGTGCGCCTATCACTGCAAAGCTTATGGCCAACATGCTCCAGACTGCTGGCTGCAATCATGTTATCACCATGGACCTTCACGCCAGCCAGATCCAAGGCTTTTTCAATGTCCCGGTCGACAACTTGTACGCTGAACCCAGCATTCTCAAGTGGATCCGGGAGAACCTGGATGTGAGCAACTGTATCATCGTCAGTCCAGATGCTGGTGGTGCGAAGCGGTAAGTCAGCTGAATTTTTGTATTACTCTTTTTAAACTATGGTCATTGTCAAGTTCAGTGTTGATTTATGTCTGTTGCCAGTGCCACTGCTATTGCTGACCGTCTCGACTTGCAATTCGCACTTATCCACAAGGAACGTCCTCGCCCGAACGAGGTCTCCCGCATGGTTCTTGTCGGCAATGTTCAGGATAAGGTCGCCATCATCGTGGATGACATGGCCGACACATGCGGAACTCTGGCCAAGGCTGCCGATACCGTAATGCAGCACGGAGCCAAGGAGGTGAACGCGATCGTCGTTCACGGTATCCTCTCCGGCAAGGCCATCGAAAACATCAACAAGAGCTGCCTCAAGCGTCTTGTGGTTACCAACACTGTTCCTCACCAAGAGAAGAAAGAGCAGTGCGACAAGATCGAGACTATCGATATCAGCCCTACTCTTGCCGAGGCCTGCAGACGTACGCATAACGGCGAGTCTGTGAGTTTCTTGTTCTCCCACGCTGTCGCTTAGATGGCTACACTGGGGTAAGGATGAACGAAAGAGATCTTTCACCGGGACAGGAGGAGAACGTTCCTTGGTTCTTCGAATTGAATATCAAATGCTCAACGCTTTGAGATTTGCAGTGTTCTCCACTGGCCATTGATCTTTTGTTTTCTGGTTTGAGACGAAGAAATCTATACTCTGATAACCATCATAACACGAATAAGGCCATGATGCATGCACGAACAATGGGTGGAAAAGGGATGGCAAATTCCGAAAAAGTTTGCGGCGCCTACGATGAATTGAATTATGCATTTGTACATATACACGTACTGAAGGAGTTTTTCTTGTTCTTTTCTGTTTGTTTTTCATGGAAATAGAGGAAATCTGAGATTTTGACGGATTGGCTCACGCTGCTTGCCAATGTTACTATTCACGACTTGGAAAAGTGCTTGGGTTATTGCTTCAGTGCACTACGCAATAGTACAAGACTTTATCATTAGTCGCTCGTTAGGTACGTACACCTCAAGCTTAAAAAAAAAAAGCTCGGCGATGATACTACTACTAGGTGATACTGGAAAGACAATCTCTTTGAGAGGAAACAGAAAACAAACTGGGATTTGCAGTTGTGAGTACAAAAAACATCGAGCTTCATTCATTTATCAAGCAGTGCTAGCAGCCCGCGGAACCGTTACCCTGTTACCGTGCAATGTGGATCCGAGAACAAGAAGACATCTTTCACATTTTTTCCCTTTCATTCCAGCTGTGGATATGGCTTTTTTTAAAACGAAAAAGGTAGCACGCTAAAGCCTCGGTCCCGCAGACGCATGTTCCCCAAGGAATATATTCTGTTCTCTTGGGTTACACCCCTGCTTTGCACCTCGATAGCCCCCTTTCCTCGTCCACTGAGATTTTTCTCTAGCCATAATAGAGACGTAACCCGACCATTAACCCCGGAGAAGATGCATTTACTTCCTCATAGAAGAGGCCCTCCGCTTGCGGAGCTCATCACGCTTGGCCTTCTCCTCGTGGACACGGTTGGCAAGGAGCTTAGCGTAGTCGTTACTGTTTCGCAGCAATTAGTAAACCCAAATGAAAATGTGGACGTGGAAAGACAAGGGAGCTTACGCAGCCTCGCGAGCAGCCTCAGAGCGGCGGCGCTTGATGGCGATCCTGTGACGCTTGCGCTGGAGACGCTGGGGGGTAACCAGACGCTGGATCTTGGGGGCCTTGGTGTACTCGGGCTTGCCCTCCTTGGTGACGGTACGACGGATGACGAACTTGCGGACGTCGTCCTTCTTGTCGAGACCGAAGAAACGGCGGATCTTGGTGGCACGCTTGGGACCGAGTCTCTTGGGGACGACAGTGTCGGTGAGACCGGGCAGCTCACCCTCACCCTGCTTGACGATGCTCAGGGCCAGGACAGCGAGATCGAAGTTGGTGATGGCTGTGGGAAGTCGTCAACAATCCAACCATGGGCACAGGAGCAATAAAATTTCTCATTTTCAAAACATACCACCACGGACAGACTTGCGCTTACGCTCACCGGTGCGGCGGGGGCGGTAGCAGCTGTGGCCATCGGCGAGGAGGAGACGGGTACGGGTGGGAAGGAGAACTGTATAGATTCGATGAGTTTCCTGCTGGTGATTGCTGAGCGTTTGATATCGGTCGGTTACATACCACCCTGCTTCATGGGGAAACCTGGTAAGTGCAAATGTCAGCATTCTCGCTCATTATTGTCCCGCAATTTCCATGCCAGTCCCTCCACTCCACATAAATTCCATAGTCAAGGAAAGTCGTTATAGATAAAGAAAAAATTCCAGTCCTACCTTGCTTGTCGTTACCACCGGTGATCTTGAAAAGGTAACCCTTGAACTCATCACCAAGGGAGTCGCCGGCAATCTATAAATATTCCCCAATCAGTCTTCTTGCTTCCAAAATCTTCGTGTGTTGAATGTTCTAATGGCAGATCGAACGGGCGTGGTTCAATAGGGAGATGGGGTTGCTGACTTCGGTTCCCATGCGCTTCTCCATGAAGGGACGGAGCTTGCGCTCATCGTCAACCTCGATGATCTTCTGCGACCCATTGGCCGGGTAAGAGATGTTGAGCTTCATCTTGACGGAGCTGCGCGGTCAAGACGGAGGGCGCGGGTATTGTCGACAGGTCGAGGAGGTTAGGTCGTCGGAGATTCAGTACTTGGGATTTTTGGCCGCTGTGGTGTAGCGAGATTTCCCTCTGTGGGCGGCTGACTAACATTCACCATCCCAATTCGGGTTTAGTGCCGCGAAGTAGGGCTTCTTATGTCAGCCGCTTTCCCTTTTGGGAATTTTCCAGACTCAAAAAGGATGTTCATTGATTCAAGAAGATCATCTCCTATTCATGTATATACATCTGTACCGACAATGGGATACAGAATACTGCGGTGGACATACACCTTCTTGCGTACTTTCACCTCATGGCTCTTCTTGACTCGAACAACTGCTGTACCTTATGCGAGAGTCAACTAGTATCATAATGAGGCACCATCCGGCGATAACTACTACTCTTATCCTAGCTATCTCTCGCACTTGATCTTACTATTCTAAAGATTCAATTGTCTATGGTTCACGAATGTTGGTAGGTATAATAAGTAAGACTCCTACCGGTACCTAACTATCGAAGCACTGACTCAAGTCCCCCTCGAAGATACAGATCAAAGTGGCGCTTATCACCATCACCATTTAAAATCCACCTAGCATCCACTGGACGGAGTATTCCCTGTCTGCAACTGCACGTCCATGGCGAGAACAACTACCTAACCTAAAATAGGAATTATGCACAAAGTGTCCCTTGGAACATATTATGCCATTAGTCATCAATGCGTTATGCAAAAGAAAAAGTTCAAGAAGAACCTGCAAGAGCTTTTCGACCATTAAGACCGTTTCTAGTCAGAATGGTGGACACCTTACGCAATGACCCGAGCACGCGACTGGTTGACCGATCCGGACTCGCCGCGCGGACAACAGCCTTATTATGGGGAATGGCATACAGTGAACGCCTTAGGCCAAGTCGACAACGTTCTTCCCAAGGCGTTATTCTTGGTATTATCAGTGTCAATGCGGTAGTTCCTCTCCTTTCCATAATTACAGACATCTTCATCGCTTTTCATTCTTTCTCCTCACCCACTAACAAGTATTCGAATTTCTTTTAACTTCATCCCGTCATCTCCTTGCGTTTGTTCCTCCTTCTATTGTCCTTGTTAAAGAGCTTTTTCGCTTCTCATATTCCCCACCTGGCTTGTCAACCCTCATCACTACGCTAGTTTCACTGTCAAGTCCCGGTTTCTGCACGGTACCCCCCCGGAGATACGATTCTTGCTCCTCAACCCTCCCCTCTGTCTCAGGGGGAAGGCCTCGTTTGATCCGTAACCGGCGCTTCCGATTGACATAACACTCTTAGTTTTCCTGGGAAATTTTAGTCATTTCCAGCAGCAAGTGTCTCGAAGAAAAAAAAAAAAAGAGCGAGAGAGAAAAACAATATTCACAGCCACTTGACATCGACATCTACCATTGTTGGATGGGATTGGTAGACAACGGCGAAAGAGACTGCGACCGCCCACACCTACACACGGACAGCCTTCAGACGCCTTTGTCACACTTCCCATTCCTTTGTACTAGCTCTGTTTCAACCCGCGATGCGCCTCTTCAATAAGTTTCACACTGTATGCGCCTTGGCTGTAGCCAGTATCCTGCTATCGGCCTGGTTCCTCGCTTCCCAGAATTACTATAGACGAGTGGTGCCGACCAATGGCGAAGACTCTAGTTTCAATGTCGCTACCTCCTTTGATCGGAGGTTAGTCGTATTCGGTGATTCGTGGAGCGATAACAATGCGGGCGAGCTTCAAGGGTCTGTCTGGACGGAGTGGCTTTGTTCGAAGGTAGGCAAACCCAAAAACAAAGGCCGTCTCAGGGCCCGAATTGACGATGAGCTCATTCACGGTTTAGTTTCAATGCCATCATGAGAATATGGCGCAGACAGCCAAGTCACTAAGAGGAAAGTATATTGGCTCGGTCGTAGACAATGACGAGTTACCAGATTCCTTACTCAACTTACACAAGTCGCCGCTGGCCGACTTCAAGGCTCAGGTCAGTCAGTGGACCGCTGCCGAGGCACGTGCTGTGCAAGAAGACCTAGCAGGCAACAAGGAAGCGATCAGCCACCGCCAAAACCGCACTATTATTGTCGTTTCCTTTGGTGTTTGGGATGTGTGGAACATGTTGGATAAGGACTACGACACTGCAACGCAATCAGTGGACCGCAGCATCGGTGTCATCATCGATCAGCTCAATGTGCTGTCTCAGAGTTTGGGCACGGATGAGCTCAAGGTCATTCTGACATTGACACCAGATGTCACCTTCCTTCCAGCGTTCAGGCCCACAAGAAGCCATGTCGGTCGACACAAAGAGGCGGTCCAAATTACGGAATATTGGAACCGCCGACTTCGTGAGGCTGCGGAAAAATGGGACTTAGGCACAATCTATCTGTTCGATACGAACGCTTTTCTAGCCGACCTGATCCGTGATTGGCAACTATTTGCTGCCGGCATTGAAGAACCCAATGGGCTGGGAAAGAACCAGGAACCGGGTGGGAGAATGTCGACGACGCATGCGTCGAAAATGAACAGCAACTAGTGATGACATCAGAGGTGAAAAAATGTGACAACCCAGAGAAGTTCTTATTCTGGTAAGATCAAGACACGTTACCAATGGACCCCAGTGACTCGGGCCAGACTAACCGTATCTTCAGGAACGAGATGCATCTGGGTCCTTCGGCCCACCGACTCATGGGTACGGAAATATTTCACGGGATCGAAGAAATGTGGCTCAGATAAAGGTGGGTTTCTAAGAAAGAAAGAAAATAAGAAATAAATAAAAAAAATTAGCATAAATAATGTTTTTTTCTCCTTTACACCACCACGGATGGGACACGCGCAATCCCGACGTAATTCGTTGTTTGGGAGGTGTGTTTCTGTAGACAACAAGGCCACCGC